ACGTCATCCATGAGGCCACTTACTTGACAGACTGATAGATTAGCATTTCAGGTTACAAGGTGACGGAGACGTTACGATCGGGCATTGTTGAAGTGGAAGTGTTTGACGTATACTCGATGTACAACCATACTACTGGCAAGTACGAGGTCGTACCTCATTGCGATGGAGCTGTCGCAACAGGTCAGTAAGTTGGTCAAGGTTCTTGTGAACAGCTTGATATTTGTCGACCCATTCTGTGCTTTCCTATAGACGGAACTAGCACTGCAAATCCTCATTGATGTACCCCAACTTTTTCGGATCAAGGAGGGTGCATCAACGAGGAAGGCTCAACGGTAGGCACGGCTCCGCCTATAAGGCAACCGTGAAACCTACTTTTAGCAGGAGAAAAATATCCCCCCCAATCGTGAAAGCTTTCATCGCTGCTGTAAGGCATTCAGTCTAGTATTTCAGGTGGATTCGCTCCTCCGTCGCTATCCAACGGCACGGCGGAAGTCGAATGCGCCAAATATACGGCGGCCGAATATATGATCGGACAGGTAATTTGCGCTTAACTGCAAGTTCTTCTCATCAATTTCAATCGTCCAATGGTGAACAGTTTTTGCTTAAGCAGCCATGTTTCAGACCGGTGCCATGGCTGGAGTTGCCGCTTTCATGATTGTTTCCTCTGTCTACAAGATCCCCGTCTCGGCAACTCACGCAATAGTTGGCGCTTCGTTGGCATCCTCGCTTTATTTAAGAGGAAACATTGGAATCAAATGGAGTGAAATCGGAGGAATAGGTTGGTCCAAACAGCTGTAAACCATCATGAAAAAAGAGCACCTGTCGGTATTAAATGTGTCCAAGAAGAACCGCACCTGCTCTCGTTCCCTGTTTAGAACATCCTTCCTTTCGCAAGGGCGGGTGTCGGGGATTACCCAGCGAAAGAGGCATTACAAGCGAAGTGATGTGCGCAGCCTTCGCACCAGGACCAAACGTCTCAATGTGGCAGCACTGCGGCATGCCGTCTCTCTCTCTGTTTCTCTCAAACCAAGTAGCTTGGAAATGCGTGCAATACTGCGGTAAATTCTAGTGTAAACCGAAGAATTGGAACCTTGTTCTCACTAAATATGTCCAATAGGAATCCTTCTTATTCGCGCTGTAGTCTGACACCCCTGGTTACCCTCGGGTTAGTGCTATGCACCCAAGGGCATCTCGGGGATGGCAGACTGCAATGCAACTACTTCACGTCCTGGCCAGAGCTTTTAAAGGCCGCTTTTCCTCTCGTTTACTCAGTGAGATGACGCAGACAAGCAGACATGACGTGCCATGGTTGCACCTAGCAACGAATTTTGCCCCCTCGCCTCCCCCCCCCCCCCTAAAAGCAGTCTAAGTCAACTTCTTCCGCCTGCCACGATTGAAAGTGTAAAAAGCTGACCCTTCCTACTAAGACTTCTATGATCTGGATGATATTTCAGTGGCATCGTGGTTCATCTCGCCACTCATTGCTGGCTTTTTCGCCTCCGCCTTCTATCTGATCATCAAATACTCAGTACTACTCCGAAAAGACACATTCAAATGGGCACTAATGATGTGCCCTGTATTCATGTGTTTCACCATCACCGTTAACCTCTTCGCGTGCATATTTGACGGGTCATCAAAATGTAGGTTTTGAAATGATTAGTTCTCCAGTAAGACTAGTAATTATCCATGACTTTAGATCTTGGATTTGATCGTCTGTCATGGTGGCAAGCTGGTCTCATTTCGCTTGCCACTGGCCTGGTTGCAATGTTCCTTCTCTCCTGTCCTTTGAAGGTAACGATTAATTTCACGAAGTCAAAGAAAATAAAAACTTATGATCTTTATTCGAAACGAAGAGGCGAAAGCAAAGAAATCGAATTTTTTCGCATTTCAGTCTTGGCTGAGTAACCGCGCTCATCGACTTTTTAACGAAGAAGTGGCGAAAAACCAACGGAAGCTGGAGCAGGGCAAAATCAGTAAGTTGCACATCATCACGATTAGTACCGAATCCTTATTGAAAGCACAGTACAGACCATCCCGGATGATCCAGGAAGCAGGCAGTCAGACCGTGAGATTATGTGCCTTCTCTAGTGGCAGTGCAAATTAATATAACTGCGCCTTTTAAATCGAATATGGAAAAGGGATCCTAAGATCCGAACCTCGAAGCGCACATTCCTTGGAAAATCAGGAATTTTCTCATAGACCCATGGCTCTTTCCCAGCTATGTCCTTGCACTTATGATATTTTCTTGAACAGTCCCTGAATGACAAGTATTTTGCTACTGTTCTTCGTTCAAGGAAAAAAAAAGGGAGGGACGCGGAGGTCAGACTAAGGTGGATCAGCGTCTTCACCAATGGGGTTCTCTTGCAGAGAAGCCTATAGCCACTTTTAGACGATAAATCGTCGCTTCAGTTGAGAAATGGAGAGAGTCAAGAACCCAGAGTTCCGCTCTTGAATACCTCCAGCACTAGACATTTCTGGAAGTTACTCTTTATTCCTTAGATTCTGCTTGATTTACCCCCATAAAACTCAGTGCACCCTATATCTTTCTCAATAGTGATATACTGATAAGTTTTTCTTTCAGAGCATCAAAGATAAAGGACATGCACCGCTCCTGTCGTGGATTTGGAGCAGATTAAAGACCTTCCATGGTACAAATACCTTTACACTGCAGTACCTGAGGAACGATTAACAACCAAGGTTGGGAGTTTTGTTTTTTAACTACAAGCTTCTTCCGAGCACTATGGATCAAGTTATAGGAAAAGGCTTGTTCGCAATGAAACGTCCCGACTCCTTCCTTTCTGGAAAGCCAGTAGTATTTTCTTCCTCTCGCTCACACTTTTAGAATGTCAGCCAAAGCCTTCTGCTGGGTTCAGACCAACTCTATAATCAGCCAAATAAACCTTATCTTCACTGTGAACGTGGAGGTCGATCCGGCAAGCCCTAAGCAATTCCTCCGATGTGAATCCATGGGAGATCCGAGTTCTGGCGATTATTGAAGCGAGCATCCTATCGAGACCCTTCATCAGATTGTGAGGGAGAATCAAGTCGAAAAGAATCCAGTGCCCTGGACCACTAACCTTTTTTGCACTCGGAAAACTAAACTCCTGATTGGATTGACATTATTGTTCAACTGAGAAGATGCTATCTGGTGGGGACTCTAGGGACTGTTGTTACTATTCCCATGAAGTAATTTATGGACGATTAGCTGAGTCCATTCGCGCCTCAGTACTCTAACTGATGAATGTTTATGGGCACGCTTCCCCTCAAAATACGAGAAAAAACAAACACTAAGATTCGTTGCCTGTGAGTTTTTGTAGGTCCGACGTCCTAAATAGCGCCGTAAATCAAGCGGCTTCAGCTTGTAAGCAGAGAATGACTTTTCTCGGAGCAGGGGGATCGCATATGGCATAATTGCTGTGAGAGGTGATATACATCATGGCGACCCTCCATCTCCCCTACTTGGCTTTTTCCACTTAAAGACTGAGCACAGTCCATTTGTACCTGAGCGCGGTAGCTCGCATCTAGGCTACCATGGAATTAATAGGTCTGCCCCACCGTCTTGCTTGCAAAGTGGTTGCTTTTCAAACTTAGATGCAGTCATGACCCGTGCAAACCATAGACGTGTGATATGGACTAGAGCGCAGCCAGGGCGGCCTTTTCCACCAATGGTGTCATCCTGGGCTCGCTACTCCTGGTGTGAAAGCTGCCCTAGCTACGCCTAAATCCACGCCCCGTCACACACCCTATCCTTTGCAGGGATGATCACTGTAGACGTGTAAAAACTAATAATGTCGTAACCACTATGGGGGGACATAATCGTTCCCGACTATTGGGAATTTCCGATCAATAATTGGTTTCTGATCTTCTGTCGATTGGTTTTTTGGTGGAAACCGACTACACATTATCTAATCGCAATTCAATTCCAGGTTTTCAACGCCCTCCAAATCGTCTCTTCTTCCTTGCTCTCATTTTCTCACGGTGCCAACGACACCGCTAACACTGTCGGACCATTACTGGCTGTCTGGATGACCTACCAAACCGGCTATGCATTCGGTGCTGGCTGAAACCAGAGACGATTCACAGGTAGGCCTTGTAGGATCCATTAGTACATAAGGATCAGGGTTAAGATGGAAACCAAAAGTATGAGTAAAATGCTGACTTCCTTTCAATATTCGATGAATATTCAGGTGCTGCTAGCATTCGGAGCCGTGGCCATGATCGTCGGTTTTGTGACCCTCGGACATAGGACCATCAAGCTTATAGCAAAGGAGATCACTGTCGATATGAGTCCGATTTCTGGATTCGCCATCGAACTCGGCACCGCTTTCACCGTGTTGGTCTGTGTGAAAATTGGTGAGTGGCTAAACTTATTGCCGAGCATTCAATTCGAAAATCACATACGTTCACAAATTCATCCAAAGTATAAAAGGACTAAGCCTGTGATGTTGATCATTTTTTACACCACCATATCGTACCTTTGGGATTCATAGCGAGGGAATCTGGCCACTGGAGGGAGGGAAGGGGCATAGCTACAGTCGGAATCCTTGAGAGGAGGTAGGCGTGGCTGCGTGCCTCGAGCAAACGTGGCGGTGACTGCGTTTTTGTAGAGATATTCGTTTTGAGACAATTGTGGTCATTTCTTTGCCCAATACAGAGCAAGATGACAGTTGTGTCCAGTTGAAACACCTTACGCTTGAAGGATCAGGCCCCCGACAATGCGCGTAGGAAGTCGCCCCTTGTCCCTACACTACAATTACGACCCCTGCAAAGGATGGGGATTGCGAAGGGGCGTGAACTGGAACGCAGCCGAAACAACACATTTTTCGCCTGTTGCTGCGGCTTCATTGGAGGAAATGCCCGCTTTGGCTGAGCTCCAAAACACGCCCCCGCCCCCCACACGATCTGTCATTTACAGAGATAGCAGCTGGAAATTGCTCCGGTAATAACAAATGTGAATTTTTTAGGAATTCCAATCTCTTCCACTCATTGTGCTGTCGGAGCGGTTCTCTTCGTGGGCTTAACGAAATCGACAGTTGAAGGTGTCTCCTTCAAGACGTTCCGCAAAATCGTTATCGTCTGGCTGCTCTGCTTCCCCGTAGCAGCTGCTATCTCCCTTCTTGTCACCATGGTACTGGTGAGGTTTGTCTAAACCGAACCTTTTTTGAGATACCTCTTCCTAGGTAACGTAGTTTAGACTGTATACCTTTGTTGTCCTTCAGAAAGTTACCAAATACCTCATTTGTACATTCCTTCCTTCCCCCGAAGTAAAGCGGTAGCAGATCCGCACACCTCTTTGATTTTTTTTCCCGTTTCCTGGGTCTCCAGTATACTTTTTTAAAAACAGCTTCACCTCTTACAAAATGAGCTCATTATGCGGTAAACATATCGAAATATTTGTTCTCATGGTTCATGCACAACTATTATTGTGCTTATTTTGTATTACATGCGTATAAGCGGGTTGTTATTCTGTGAATTTTGTACCGGATAAATGCATTTCTATTGCTTTGGAATCTACAGTTCTTGCAGTTCTACAGTTCATCGTCGCAATTAGTTGGGGTGGAGTTGCTTGGCATGCTGGGTCGGGCGCCCCCCACACTCCATTGTCAACAACTATTGCCGAAACACCTTTCCCCTGGTCACTTTTTTTTATAAATCTATCTCTTGGAACGGACACTTTCCGGTAGAACGGCAGCCTGAGGCCGTTCTATTCGGCCCGGCCTGACACCCACCACCACCTGATTACGAAGTTGTCAACCACATGGTTCAATAATTGGTCAAAATCTAATTCAGTGTAGCCCTTTCTCTCCACTCTGTTGTTTTCTAGAGGTCGTGATAAACTGTTCACTGTTCATCTTCCTAGCATCGACACTGTTCATCTCCTCTTGCGCTAAGTGCTAAAACAGATGGCTAAGGCTAAGGGGCCTGCTCGTAGCGGCTACTGGTCTGGCAATGCTTGACGGCAACGGCCCGCTCTCGCCTAAGTAGCTCTCGCTGGAGTTCTCCTTGCTGAAGAAATTGGGTTGTGAGGCATCCAGTCAAGGATTGCCACTACTACTCAAAGACACCTCTTGTGCGTGTTTTTACCGCGCGAGAGCGTCGGTCCACCATCCCGGAGGTTGACATCTTTCGCCGTGCCACAGAAGGTTGGACCCTGCGACTGTCGTGTCGGTATTTACGTGGAAACACACGTCTTGAAGCACAGTCGCCTGGCTCTCAACCATCCGTAGGCGTTCTTCCTTGTTGAAGTAGTCTTCTCCGCGGTTTATGAGATTGTCCCCTCTCGACGGCTTCACAGCGAGTAACGAATGAGTTGCGGCTCCACATCTGGCAGTTTTGAGTCCTCCTAGCCGATTACCACCCACCAGTACTTTAAAGGGTTGTTTAAGTTCATCTTTGAAGTGTGTTTTTCTTGTTTTTCCACTGTCAGGCGGCATTGGCATTAACTGACCTAAAGAAGCGATTAGTGAGCCAGGGGGCAGATTACCACTTTGGTGGCATACAACGAGCACGTCTAGAGTGTCGTACAATGAGTGCGCCAGAGGAGTGCATACTCACGAGTGTTCTCCTTTAATTTTGCTTTTTTCTTCCCCTGGAGCGGGCCATCTATGCGGATATTGGGTGCTTGCTTCATTTTTCAGGAACTTTCCCATGTATTTTAGGTGGCCGATAATAATTGGATAAGTAATGCGCCGTTTTTTCCAATTTAAAATAAAAACAAAAAAAAAAAAAAAAAAAAAAAAAAAAAAAAAAAAAAAATATTGTTCCAAGTTCAGCTGTTGTGCCAAGCAAGCTTAATATCGTTTAATAGCAACCTTCTCGTAGTATTGGAATATTAAAACAGGTTCGGTTGAGGGAAGAGTTTTTGTAATTTTTTCAGTCGTTGAAGTTGAAGTGAAGTCGGCGAAAATTAGCCTTCGACAACTGCCTCTATTTACATTTACTTGAAATTTCTGCTATAGATTGAATATGAATTTTGAATGTGAATATGATATTCTAATACTAAGTTTGCTTTGAACGATATTAAGCTTGCTTCGCGAAACGATTACTTATAAATTTTCAATTTGGGAAAAAACGGCCTTTACTTATTAAGCCAGCCCCTGCACTTCGACAACTGCCTCTATCTTCACGACTCACGTTGTGATAACCTCAATGATAACCAGAAATTAAACAGCTGCTGGAGAACAGATTTCACTGCGGTTTACAGACCACGAAATTTGCTATACAGTACATGCAAGCATTCAATAACTATTAGCATAAAATTCAGGTGGAACAGACGTGAGCCTACCCAACTGGCTAGGTGAAGGTTGGCAACTTTGAAATTCTTAAAATTCGTTCCAAAACGTCCTATTGAGATTCCCTTGCTGAGACTTCTAGCTCAACCTTTCCCAAAAGTATGGAGCAGCTTAAGCGATTTTATGTTCAACGTAAATAGAGGCAGTTTTCAACGGATGTTCTATTTTCGCCGACTTCATCTTTCAACTTCATAACGGATGGAAATTAACAAAACTCTTCCTCAACCGAAGCTGTTTTGATATTCTAATACTACGAGAAGTTTGCTATTAAACGATATTAAGCTTGCTTGCAAAACAGTTCACTTTTGGAACAAATTTTTCAATTGAAAAAACGGCCATTACTTATCGGCCAACCTAATAGAAATGCCCAAGAAAGATAGCCTTTTGCTTCTCGTCCGAATCCGTTGCCCACATCATTACTGAACCCCTATGTTCTTGTTTTTTTTCCTACTCCCTTCTTTCTCCTTCAGATAGAAGTTTAATACCTAATTTGTACCATACCTAGAGTGGTCAATTTCTCCAACTCATCTCACGTCTTTACTCCCCGCGTGAAGACAACCGTTTACTGCGTCACGCTCAGATGCTTCAGCAATAGATAATCGTGCTTTCCCGTTGAAAGCACATGCTAGTTAATTCAGTAAGGTCCCACTGTTGTTCTTTGCTCCCACTGCTCAGAGTTAATGCTGTTTGCATCGTTCCTTGTGGAAATGCTTTCCTTTCAACCAGGAACTAGCTTTTCTCACGTTTCAAGAGTTCCCCAGTTCCTCGAGGAAATGAGAATCACTGAAGTGTGAATAGACTAGTACAGGATCTGACATTGACAAGATTTTCGGTCTATTTCACTGCACTTCAAATTTGAATCAAACACTGCAAGAAAGGATGTAAGCGGAAAAATTGCATGTCTGATAACTTGAGCACCACTGTGTTTCACCCTCCTTTGAGCCATTGAACTGAGAAAGGGTGACCTTTATAGCGTGACGGATAACGCGTAAGCATGAGGGTCGGGTTCGATCCCGCCTTTGGTAAAGACTTTTGCCCATAACTCAGCATTCCTGTGATAGCTGCTCGCAAAATTACTGGTGATCTCATAAACAATTTCTTTGTACTGGCTTGGTGCATCAAGGTTGCACAGAACTTCGATTACCGCTTTTGTCTCAACAGGTTGGAAGGCCTCTTTGACCACCATGCATCGAGCAGTACGATTGATTCGAATGTGATGGACTACTCTACAGCAAGAAATTAGGCCACACAGATGCCGCGCTTCCACGGCACGTAATTGGGTAGTTTTGCAAGAACCTACCCTCTTCTTGATCTCCCCTCAAGTACGACTATTCCGCTCCCCCCTCCTACCCACTATCTCTCCCTAAATCCCCTCATTCTACCACTTATCTAGGCTCTTCTCTTTCACAAAATTATCCAATCTTTTCCAACAAAAGCCGCCGCCGTCCAGAGTTCATAAGGCCAGTGAGAAAAAAGGAAAAGACGGGAAAATTTTATTCCAGATGTCTCCCTCAGAGCTAAATTTCATTCCAAATGTCTCCCTCGGAGCTATCTAATTTATTGTTCTCTTATCTTAACCAGTATCGCTGTTGTGTTTTTGAAAACAATATTTCGTCCAGTTTTCTAATTAGCAGTAGGAAATATTTTCCAGTGAATTACTGCTGTCGCGAAACTCAATTAGATGTCCTCCAATTTGCCTTGTAGTAGTCGTAAAAGGAAGCTCACTTCGAAATTCTCTGAATGAAGATGAATCATGAGGACGACACTGTTCGGTTCAAGAGGGGCATTTGGTACTTACCTAGCTCAGGTTAGCTAGCAGGTCTCATTTGGTGTTACCTGTAAGCTCCTGTGAAGGTGCGGAATTGTACAAGGGACAAATCATTGGTTGGGTTGGGGATTTTTGTCGACGACCCCCCCCCCCTTTTTTTATGGGGGGTTTTGGCAGACCCGGCCCCCACCTTACGTTGGTGGGGAGGGGTGTAAAACTAGCATATGTGAACACCAGGTAAAAGTCCGCGAGCATACGAGCCCCCTTCTACATTCTCAGATTTTTTCCCAATTTCGTGCCACTCTTTTTTGACAAAATTTCCCGAAATCTTCCCTACTTTTTTCCCAAAAATTTTGCTGGCCGGTGGAGGGATATATAGTACGCATGAGGCGGGAAAATCAACTATCAAAATAAATTTCTCTCAAAATCGAAATTAATTCCTGATAACGACCTCCCCTCCTCCTGCTGGCGGTGTGCCTTGCAAGGGACGTCCCTCATCACCATGCCCCGTTATGAATTCATTAGTCAGGTTGTCTTGTCCCAAGCACAACAAAGACAACTTTTTTCTGTTTTTTCCTCTCTTGGAGTCGGCGAAGCTAATTTGACTGAAAGTATTTTCCCATGGTGTAATTGAATTTTTGTTCTGGATTCCCACATTTGCTTTCCAAGAATGATGAGACGGCTCAATTGATAGCACCTGCCAAATAAGTATGTTGACTAATTTTGGCGTGAATACCAGTAACCGCGTCCTGCAAGAGTTAGTGTATGTAGTACACTCGTGCCATGAGGCACGTACGATTTCTCCAATTGCAGACTGTTCGACTACGCGTGCCTTGGATCTCCTAGTCTTTGCTAGGTAACAAAAAGTTTTTTATAAGGTTTGACTGGACAAATCGTCTCGAGGTGGAGTTGATGTAGTGACAAGTGAAACGCTAACTACGCTCGCGGTCCAGGGGTTAGATCCCGGATCGGTTCTCGCCCAGAGCACGCCATCTTTGTGATCATCACAACGGGGGGGGTCGTATTTGCCCGCGATGAAGGGGGGGTCGTACTTGAAGATGGAATTAGGGGGGGTCGTATTTTTCAGGAAATGATCACAACGCAATGGCGTGCCCTGTTCTTGCCCTAGCCAACCAAGCCTTCTACCCTTCCGGGGACGGTGAATTGGTACCAGATTCGTCTGGGAGGATAAAACACTGACTTGTACATCGGCTGGCCACCGCAAGTCATTGTATAGGCCACATCGCATTCAATAAGCCACTACGATTCTGAATGGAAGTAGGGTGCGTGCCGCATTTCAAAAAAGGGTTTTGCTAACGGCGAGGGCTTTATCCTTCATTTTACCAGGGGATCTCAGTGAATTGTATACCAGCGCAGAATGAGTATGTTCCGCAGCTTAACCCCAGTATCGGTTAGGAGGTCTACGTTGCGACGGTTTAGGCACGCTACATAGCTGGTATTTCCTACGTAGCAGGCTCGTAATGAAACGATTCCGGGCCTAATCAATTGGATCCTGAAGCGCGTGCCGCTTTGGAAAGCCGCTAGGAAAGCCGTATTGTCACCGACGCCACAAGGTGGATCTTCTAATTAACACCCGACAATGACTGCAGATTTGAACGTATGACACTTCCATTCGAATCCAAGGGGTATTCTGAATGTGCCTACCAAATGCTAGCCAGTATTTCTATCCTCATGGAGGATTTCCGTACCGACCTAGGTCACACTCGGAGTTAAAGAAGGATTGGTGGACCTGAACAAGGCGACACACCCCGTTTCGTGGGCGCAGTAAGGGGCGCTACTTGCCATTAAACCAGTACGATCCAGGAGCAAG